GGCTGTCGTGACGGGACGTGCACAGCCCTGTGGGGTTTGCATCACGGTGACAAGTCGTACAGAAAATGTTGTGTGTAGTTCTCCAGCCTGTGCTGTGCTCCTCTGTCGTCTCTGTGGGGCATTGCAGACCGCGGTGTGAAGTGAAGCTTAGGCAAATCGCTTCCTGCCCCTGCCCGGACGTCGGGACGAATACCGAGCGGGCTGTGCTGCTCTCTGAGTCACAGCTTGGGGAGCTCAGGGGTAGATGTGGATTGACACAGCTCTGTGGGCTGAAAACTGCCACAAGGTGTGTGTTTTTAAAAACACGGTGGCAGGTTAGTTGTGAACAGATAATCTGTGAAAGAGCAAGGCATAATGGCAGGTTTGTCTGAGTTGAGGTGAATAAATGTGGTAGAAGAGTATAAAGAAAAGTTGTTTGAGGATGGTAAGATCCCTTACCAGAGATTTCATTTTTTCTGTTCCTTTTCTTTAAAAGTAACTATGAGATGAGGAGAACATGATTGTAGAAAAATAGTGTTTTCAAAAACTCATGAGTAACAAATGCAATTTTTAGTATTCTTAAGTAAAGAGTTCAGCATTCTCTGTGTAGAAAAATGGAGCGAAGAAAAAAAGGCCAGTTAAAACATTTTGGCACATGCTTTAAGAGCTTTCAGTAAATTCAGTCCAGGACTTAAATAATGTGCTTAGGACTCCTCCAGGGTAATCTTTGAGGCTTAAAGCTGAACTCCAGAAAACCAGACTTTTTAGTGTGTGCCTATGTGTGTTGCATTCAGTATGAGAGCTGTGAGGATTTTTCTTGTTGTCAGGATGGTACTGTGTCTAAAAAGTGGTGGCAGGTATAGAAAATTGGTTATTCATACTACAGGTTTGGTTTGATGGTTATTTTTGCAGATGATGATTCACACAACTCAGGTATATTTTATTTATAATCAGCTTAATTTTTAGTGTTTGTACATGTCCCTGGCAGCTGTGAAAATGACTTTATATTGAAAAAAAAAAAGTGCTCAAAATTTTTTTTGCTAATAGCTATATTTGCTACAAAAATACTGAACTTTGAAGGATTGATATACTTTCCAATGAGTAATATTGTTAGAGTAACCTCAGTGTTGGACATCACTCTTGTAGTGGGGTGTGAATAACATGATTTGACTAAGATTTTTTTCTCACCCTCCTTTAAGATATTTAGATTCTGCAAATCAAAATGCCACAGAAACTTTAAAAAGAAGAGAAATCCCAGGAAGATGAGGTGGACCAAAGCATTCCGGAAAGCAGCTGGCAAGGAATTGACAGTGGTAAGAAGCTGAACTGGGTCACACTTGACAGTAGTTCACCAAAATGACAGAAATATAGCCTCTTCCCACTGCAGACAGGCTGGGTCAGGTAGCATAGTGCATTACCATTTAATTAGATGTGGGATGGAGGGAGTGTGGAAGGGAATGTGAGAGTTGTTTCAGAGTGAGCTCTTTGCTCAGCTTGATTGTAACTTGGAACTTTCCAATTCAGCTTCAGGATGGAAGTCTTTGTATCAGATGTCTGCGTTGGTAACACATGGTGGTTCCCATGTCCAAGGCATATTTTACCACCTGTAGATATTTCACTCTCTGCAGGTACACCTTTGGTGGTTGTGTTTCTGCACAATCAGGTCATCCAAGTTACCAGGTACCCCAGGAAGTCTCTCTGTGTAGACACTTAAAGTAGTTACCTTTTGAAGTATAGGAAGAGTCTTTGCCCAAGTTGGAATGTTTCAGAACCAGCATGAGACCTTAAAAGCAATTTCAAAACAAAGTTATCTCAGTGGTAAAAATATTAAACATTCACATATGTGGGACAGTCCTTAAATAATTTAAGAATTACTGTGACTTAATTACCTCTTTTTTTACAGAATATTAACAATTTAGTAAGCATTTTGACACAGTGATTTATTGCCTTCTGTGGATCTTCCAAGGGGAAGAATGTGGTTTTATTTTTTAATGTGACACTGAAAAGCCAAGATTAATTAGCATCTTCAGTAATTGTGTTTCTTGCTTTTGAGTTGTTTCTGGCTAAGTTGAACTATCCTTTTGAAAATAATTTAAAATTCCTTTATACGTGTCTTAATTGGTGACAATATGAGATGCATAATGTATTCTAAGAATAAAGACAATATATGAACTTAGTGCTGTGTTCTAGTTGGGTTGATATCTGTTCTTTCTTAAGCTTTGGGTAGTGCCTAAATAGGCTTGTGACAGTATGAAATTCTGTAGTTTCTAAGAAGGTGACAGGTAACTCTGCTTTACCTCAACAGAAAAAACAAGTTTTGGGCAGGGAAAAGTCCTTGGATAAAACTGGTGTAAAGCTATGTATGACTAGGAAAAACAATCAGGAAACTGTTTTCCCATCTTCAGCTCATGATGGGGGGGATGGAGGGATGGCAGATGCCCCACACACCACAGTGACATCAACTGAACCATTTCGCAATTTCAAATTATTTTATGCTGTTTCAGTATTCTTAAAATGAAATAGTGGTTGGGGTTTTTTTTAACCTTTTCAAAATGGCAAGCTGTTGAGTAGAGTTTATTTGACCTGTATTAAATGCTTTCCACTCTACATGTTTTCCATTCTGCCTTTCACCTGTCTAATCTACTCTGTATTTCCTACTCCGCATTGGTTTTCTCTGTCTCTTTTGTCTTGCTAAATAGAAAATAGCTGAGGGAGATGTTTTGGTAAATAGTTCCTGTCAGGCAAATGACTGTGGCTCCTGACACTTTGAGGTCAAACACTCCAGTGCATTTCCTTCTAGTGTAGTTATCTCTAATGGTTGTTAAAGGCTGGGGGGAAATATCATGTAAAATGGGAAGTTATAGGAGTGATTGCTATGGTAAGAATGTATTCATCTAAACATACTTCTGTACATAACCTGTATTTACCTTTTCTTAATACAGGATAATTCATTTGAGTTTGAGAAACGCAGAAATGAGCCAGTGAAATACCAGAGAGAGTTGTGGAACAAGACTGGTGAGTCATTCTAGAAAAAAAACCCAAAAGATTAATTTTTTACTCTACTCAAATGTGTTTTCAGAAGACTTTGTAGAGTATTGACACTTTATAGTGACTGTTTGAAATTACTGGGATCATGATCAATTCTTATGTGTGGAGGAGGTTTGAGTTGTTAACAGCTTGTGGAGTTTCACTTGATGTTTGCTTTTTTTTTTTTTTTACAGCTTGTGGAGTTTCACTTGATGTTGGCTTTTTTTTTTTTTCCAGAAACTGGTTAGAAAATGAGAACCAGCATTCCTATATTTTGGATTATCTTGAAAAAGCCTTAGTGGTTCTCCAGCTTTTTAAGAGGCTTTTTTTAAGAGGCCTTTTACACTTACGCAGTTGTCTGTTTGTTCATGCTAATTCCACTTCAATTTGTGTTAGAGAATCAATTGCTATAAAATGGAAGAGTTGCTTGTATCATGAATGAATGCCACGAAGAAGGTGGTGACTTGCAGATTTCAAGCAGACTCTTTTGTATGATGGTTGACTGTAGAAATTATGTGAAGACACAAAAGTGGAAGCATAAATAAGTTGTAAAATACAACTTGTTGTTGCTACTCAGAATATTCCCTTATCTTGCTCTTTGAAGAATGAATAACTTCCTCTGATTAGTGTAAGAGTTGCCTCTGCTGCTTAGGTCTTAGGGAGTAGTGGCAGAGTTGCTCTGCATAAATACCATGTGTTTTTAACTGCAGGTATGTAACATGTTTGAACTTCTGCTTTATTTCAGTTGATGCAATGAAGAGAGTGGAGGAAATAAAGCAAAAACGCCAAGCCAGATTTATAATGAACAGGTGAGAAGTGTTTGTGTGCTGGGAACCCTTGCACATCTGCATTAGACAGCCTTGCCAGGAACAGGATGGTCAACAGTTTGACATGGTTGTTTGCTTTGAATGAACACAGCAGTCCAAGTGATGGGGTGCAGTAGTTTGAGTAGGCTCTACTCTGTGCTGTTGGCTGTTCAAGGAGCTGTAGCTTTTGGACACTCTGATAAGAGCTACATTTCCTTGGCTGTAATACAGAGTCTTAGATTTAACCAGATTTCCAATAAGAGTTGATACAGTGCTGGTTTTTTGCCTGGTTTTGCATCCAGTATTTGCTTGAATTAGTTTTCAAATACTTTAAACCTTTATTTCCTCATAACCAGTTATTTACGGTGTCTATTTGCCATTAGTGAAAGATGTCATACATTAAAATGAAAGAATAAATCTCCTCTTGGAAGGGAATTAATTAAACTTAATTTTCTCCCTCCCCAGATTAAAGAAGAGCAAAGAGTTGCAGAAGGCAGAAGACATCAAAGAAGTCAAACAAAACATCCACCTTCTTCGTGCTCCCCATGCAGGTAAGAACTTGCTTTGCCTGGTTTCCACATACAGTTTCAGGATGAATGACTAATTCTACAGATCACTAATCCTGTGCATTTGTCTTGCAATTAATTTGTCTGTTGAATAGAGAGAATAGCTTTTGCCACTGAGTGTATGCAGGATCTTTGTATTTAGGCTGTTTCACCAAGAATAGACACATACATTGTTGTCAGAAAAAGTTACTTGGGTTTAGAGAAACATCTTGAATTAAATTTTATTTTTTTTTGCTTTGAAGGCACACCAAAGCAGCTGGAGGATAAAATGGTGCAGAAGCTACAAGAGGATGTGCCTATGGAAGAAGACTCTTAAAGTGCTTTTATTTGCTATTTATATTTCTTCAGCAGTTAACAGTTCCTTACTGCCTCACCTGACATCATTCAGAACTGTGTTTAGAGCTGGAGAAAAATACATTTTAATGAATAGTGGTCATTTACTGTTTGAATTGTCTTTTGTTTTATAAGAAATAAGATGGATACTGGTTTGGGCAGTACTTAAAATTTTGCAATTTGAGAAAGCTTTGTCATCTGGATGGAGAGAGACATTTGAGATGCTGTGTGCTCCTTGGAAGGTTAAACTTTCTCTGGGTGACTTCTCCCTGATAATTCAAGAAATAAAAGATGCTGTCCCTGAGCTTTTTTTACTTTGTCTGTGGTTCTTTCATAGTGGTAAAAGCAGATAAAAATCTGTCTTAATGGTTGCAAGGTGGGGCAGGATTTTTCATCAGTCCAGTGCAGTCCAGACTTTGCTTCACTCCCGTCCTTGGGAAAATTTTTCAGTTTATGAAGAACACATAGAGCGTTGGTTTATCTCCTTTTTAAGTCAGGATTCCATTGCAGTTGACATCTGGCAAAGCTAACATTGATGCAGGACTTAGGTGTGGAAGACAATAATGGTGATGCCATCCCGTCTGGAGTTGGACCTACCATCATCCTGATCTACTGAAATTCAAATCTGATGTGTATGGCTGATGGAGGTGCTCAATAAATCACACTTTAGATAGCTTTTACCTGACACCAGGATTATTTTGATAGAAAAGATGCTGCTGAATCATAAATATTTTGCATGTTGTGGTGGTATTTATTCAGAGTGTCATCAGCACTGAGATAAATACTTGCTCTTTTAAACTGTCAGCAGTTTATCTGCAGCAGTGTGATCAAAGTAAACTTTCGAAGGTATTTATAGTATTTGCATTCTTGTTGTGCTAGTTATCCTGAAAAGTAGTAATTGGTAGTTCTATTCAAGCTTGGATATGTGCTATAGCAGGCACTGCAAAACATCCTACCTACCACCCACGTGTGTTGTGCAGCTCAGAGGAGAGTCATATTTGAACATGTGAGTGGGGGCAGTGGGGAGTGTGTGAGATAAGCAGGCATTGTACTCAGTTTTATATCTTGATTTGTGAATTATGATTAGCTACTTAAAAAAGATGTATTTTAGTGAGAATTCTAGTATAAAAATATGTCATTCCTTATTTTAGTGCAATTAAAATTTTGCTGTCATTTGAAATTTGCTGTTAAGGTGATGGCTGATAAGCATTTTAGAGGTACAATATTGGTACTTACCCTATAAACTGTAACATAAGTAACATCTCAAAAGCATATGGTAAGTTGGCCAGAAAACATATGTCAATAGGGTGAAACCACTAAGATGCTACTGTGTAAATAAAGTGCATATATGCTGTGTGTACACCGAGAGGCTTGGGCACAGAATGTTAATTAGTGTGTTTATGTGGGACTAAACAAGTTAACATTTCAGCTCAGGGTTTTTGTGTGGTCTGTTACTATAGTATTTGATGTCCTTGATCCTTGAACTGGGATACTTCATCTAAAATTCGAATTGCATATTATTTACTGAGGTTTAAAGTATAGGGTGTTCAATGAGTGCCAAGTTTTCATTTTCTCCAAAAACAGTAAAGTAAACCTGTGCAAAGCAGAGGAGGGTGATGAACCCCATTGGATGTTATGTAGTATTTATATACAGACTTTTACTTCGTAAGAGTTTATTTAACATTAAATGACTTATAGTACATAATAGCTGTAGTTGTTCTGTCCACCTATCTTTAAATCCACTGCAGTAGTTACCTGGTTTGTGTGCTCCATAAAAGTCTCTGTGGGATTGTTAACCCTTTGCTATGAAGGTTTGTAAGTGAAGTAGTCATTGTGCAGCAGCTGAGAGGAGCCATTTGGGGAGTCCATTACAGCAGTAAATCCTAAACATCCTGCCAACATCCTGAGCTGAATAACCTGTGTGCTCATCACAGCCAGTGGAACAGTACAGTTGGGCTTTGGCAGTTGATACTGAGTTGTCCCTCTGCACAGATGTGCCATTTCCCTGAGATGCAGAGACTTGTAGCCTGCTGTGAATACCTTGTGAGCATGTAGGAGGTAGCCCATTTCCCTGAGATGCAGAGACTTGTATCCTGCTGTGAATACCTTGTGAGCAGGTAGGAGGTAGTTGAGTTTAAAAATTTGTCCTGAGTAAGATGCTGACAGCTCCTGTTCAGAGGGTGCCCTTGTGATTTTTATGTTTCTAGTTTAATTGCTATGGTGACCTGTTCTTATCTGCATCAACGGGTGCAGGATGCTGAGGAGACAGCACACGGTAGGGTGCCCTTGTGATTTTTATGTTTCTAATTGAATTGCTATGGTGACCTGTTTTCTTATCAGCATCAACGGGTGCAGGATGCTGAGGAGACAGCACACGGTAAGGGGGAAGAGGAACAGCTGAGGAACATGAGGCTGGTGGTCCTCCATCCTGCACATCTGCATAACCCAAGGGGGAAGAGGAACAGCTGAGGAACAACATGAAGCTGGTGGTCCTCCATCCTGCACGTCTGCATAACCTACTGTGTGCAGAGACTTTCATGAGGAGCTCTGCAGAGGAGTGGTGTTTTCTCTTTCAGGATGCTGGCTGTCTTGGCACAGTGCTAATAGAAATCATTTGTATTCAAAGACATTTTTGTGAAGATCTGTTTGCTTGCTTATGATGAAAAATTCTCAATGAAGCCAAAGCTGATTGAAAATTTATTTAGATTTTGTATTTTGTTTACGAGACTCGGAGAGAAAGTGTCCAGCTGAACAGTATTCTGGTGGTCATGGAGAAATACTGCCACATAACAGGAAGGAAACACATTCCTCTTTCCACTTGAGCAGCTCTAGCTCAGACAGGGAGCCCTCACCTGCCTCCTGTGTGTGGGGCTGAGCTGTGCCCAATCCTCTGGGGCAGCAGATCCTGCTATCTGTTCTCCCAGTAGCAAGTTATGAGCAGCATGTTGTTACCCCTAAGAGATCCTGGTGTAGTGTCATCCATCCAAGTGACTGATCCAGTCTGTGCTGAGATCTGGTAGGAGCCAAGCACAAGGTGCCTGCAAGTACAAATGATGATGATGATGTGTGAATATTTGATCAGACAAGGTATTTATTTATGAAGAGCTGGTAGTGCTAAATGGCATTATGCAGTCCATCTTGCTTGGCATTTCCCAGATCAACGAGCTCTTGCCATTTAGTGTTTGTGCTTCATGGCACGAGGATCCTTTCTTCAAAACAAGCTATGATGGGTTTGATCAGGACAAATGTGATATTCAAAACTAATTTTTAAGGAATGCTTTTTTGGTTCTGTTGCTGTCAGCTTTTATTACAGAACAAAACCAGATGTATCTTTTTGGCGTTATTTTTTTTTGTTTTTTCTTTTAAACAGTTTGGAAATACGGATTTTAATAGTGATTTAGAAGTGACTTTTTCTTATATTTCCCCTACCTTTTTAACCCATCACTTAGTAATTTCAAGTTAAATTTGCTTTGAGGAGGAGGTTAACCTCCTGCTAACACATTTTGGCTACTCCTTCACTCGCAGCTTCACTTCTCTGTGCCACAGGACCCTGAGCAGGACGTGAGGGGACAGCCTTGCCCTGGCACCCCAAGGGTTTCTTTTCCATCTTCAGTCACATTTCACTCCCTTCAGCGTGTGGTTGTCAGTGCACCTGTTCAAACCCTGCTGAGGGGAGGTGTGTGGGGAGGTTTCTGTCACGCCTGGGGAGCCCGTGTGGCCGCTCTGAGCTGGGTTGCCTTGGCAATGCTGTCTGGGGTGGGTTCTGTGGGATGGAGTTGCTGAGGGAGGAAAGCAGAGTCTGTCTCTGCTGGCTGAGCCGTGACTCAGCCGTGGGTCTGTTGGCACAGGTGGGGGAACACCATGTGGGGGCAGCTCCCAGCAAAGCCCTGGCAGACAGGGCACGTTCCTGAGGTAACAGCCCTCGAGGCCACCCCGAAACAGCCTCTGCACCTCATGGGGAGCTCAGCACCTTCCGTGGGGCTGAGCTTTTGCTGAGGTATCTTCCATGTTTTCATACAGAGTTAGGCCTGGAGTTACTTATTTTTGCCTTTTGGGTAACTCTCATAAGTTGGTTTTGCTCCTTACTTCTGTTGTCTGTGGAGCCTCATGTTTTCCTCTCAAAGTTTGACCCAAAGAAATGGTTGCCTGTTTGTTTCTAAGGGAAACAGCCAATTCCTTCCCTCAGGTTTCCCCCTTAGTCTTTCCTTTGTGAGTGCTATTACAGTGTGGAAAAAGTGAAAAATATAGCTGTCTGTCTAATCAAATTGTGCTGAGCTGGTGCAGATTTTATTCACACTGGGCCTTCCCACAGTTTTGAGGGATCCTACATTTTAGTCAGAGCTATTCCTGAGCTATTCCTGCTCTTCAGAGTGGCAGTGTGGTGGAGCCCAGCACACAGAGATCAGTGTGTGACAGACACGTCAATCAGTTCCATATGTTGACGTGGTCATAGGTGTCAATAGCTGGAAAAGGAACAGACAGCTGCTAATAGGTCCAGAGGCTTTTGTCCCCCGAGAAGATATTTCAACCTCCAGGCTGTTCAATTCCTCAATTACTGTTCTGGCCTCAAAAATTCAATCTCTTTCACCAGCCTAACCTATTTATGGGTTGCACTGAATTGCGACCAGGGAGAGCAGAAAGCTGAAACAAATCAACCACTGATAAAATTGTCTAAGCCTGCTTGGTGTCTGTCTGTCTATTTTTAGATCTTAATTTTAGAAGACCATATGCAGAAAAACACCCAGGATTTTTTTTTTAATATTGGTATCACTAAGAATTAGTCTTTGTTGGTGGTTGCTAAACACAAGGAAGTTTTCTTCCTAATTGTGACTGAATTGACCTGACTATAGCCATAGTGTTTTGATCAAGCAGCATTGCGTGAGACTGGGTAGGAACAGAGAGAGAAATAAGGTTTTGTGGAGGTAGCTGAGTTGGAAGATATTCTTGGCTGGTTTTGGGTTTGTTTGTGTGTTTTCCTTCTCCCCAGCTTAGATTTTTCATATTATATTTAATTTGGTGAAGTCACTCTTGTTTCTCAAACAGCTGTTGCTTCACCTTTACAAAGTACTTGGGCAGCATTTTGTCTTACACATATGTATGGCAATAAAGGTACATACTGAGTAAAAGGGGATATCAGTTCTAGCTCGACAAGCAGCCTGATTTATTAGCAATGTTTCACTGCAGGGAACAGATTCCTGACTGGAAATAGGTGTGTTATTTATAAGGCAAAAATATTATGCATCCACAAATTATCGCCTACAATCAAGGCAGGGGTTTCTGCATAATTAAAAAAAAATCATCTT